CTCGATCCAGAGACGAGCGCACTAACCATGAGGCCACCGTGCCACCCAAGTATACTAATTAATGGTATACTAGGACATCACCATTAAACAACAGGGCTGATCAGTTTTCCATTCTGGCTCTTACAATTTAAAATAGATTGTCTTGATAGGAACACAGATTCTCAGAACTGCATTGTAACAACTTAAATAAATTATAAGTCAGTCAAGAAAGAACATTTCTACACTAGCAGCCTACTGTAGAAGTGGGAATTGTATAGTTATTCATTTTAGACAATATTTGTAGCCACAGCTTATTATAAATTAAATGTTAAAATCTTCTAGGTTTTAAAATGCTACATTGTAAGACAATGTGGTTTGGTTTTGCAGGGTTGGGCATGAAAATTTCAACCTTTTAAATCATGATGTTGTGGAACCTCTTTTGTTAGAAGGTAGGTAATTGTACTAGATACTATATGCCGTGATGTTCATAAAGATATCAGTCTCCAAAATACGTGCAATGCATGTGATACATTATAATTGACTTGCAGGTTTCCCCCAGGGGGGCTTTTTAATTGAAATAATTTGCCACAATGTGCAGTACCAGAAAATATCCATACTCCCCCCACAGAAGGGTTGGAATTTCCTGGGGATGGGGGGTTCTCTAAGACCAAAAAATTTAAAGAAATGTATCAAGTTTAATTGGAATTTCCAGAGCGGTGGGGGGTCTTGGAAAAAATCCCTTCCGTGGGGAAGGTATGGATATTTTCTGGAACTACACAATGTATCAAAGGGGCACAATCTGTATCATGGTAATTTTGCTGCAATTTTTTGGTCTAAACAGTGCTTATATAACAACTAAACACAAAGTGCTCCTAGAATACCAAGATGGTCAGAAGATGTTGAAAGAATTTTGGAAGGGAGACCACATTGTTCTAAATATGATAGTCCTTGTAAATTTTTACTGACACTCTTTATTCTTGTTTGGTAGTTGACCAGATTTATCATTTGGCATCACCTGCATCTCCTCCTAATTATATGTACAATCCAATTAAGGTAATTTACAGACTTAAAAAAAAAAAAAAAAAAACTGGCATGATTTGACAGAAGTGGAGACTGTTTGTATTGACATGTCAGTTTTACAGTAAATGCAAAACAGTAGAGTTAAAGCTATATCTACAACATAATGTTACATTGTAAATCATACAACACATTAATATGTCTGACAAGCAGTACAGAAACAACAGAATGCAAAACAATAGAGATGCATGTCATATTAAACCAAAAGGGGAAGACAAATTGTGATTTAGAAGACGGAAGCTCTATTAACACCTTGGCTCTGTACTTTATGTCCTTGTTTTCTTTTCTTAATAAAGCAAATAGAAGAATATAGATCAGTGAATTACAAAGTAACCAATTGTTTTGCGTGTTCATTTCTCAGACAATAAAGACAAACACTTTGGGGACTCTAAACATGCTGGGTAAGACGTGCCTTCGACCAATGCCGCATGATGTTCATTGACCTTAGTTTGTGTACTGTACGTTATGGTACTCCCCCCTGAAACAATGGCCACAATATTCCCAACCCCATTCTAAGGGTCTGTCCTTTTTATACCCCCACCCCACCCCCATCCCCCACCCCCTAGAGTGAGAAAGAAAACAAGAGTGATAGGGGCGGAAAGAAGAGAGACCCATCCGGAAATGTAGTTGACAATTTCCTATCAATGACCAAACATTTATTTTTGTGGGGTCAAGGGGCTGAGAACTTTCCATCCTTGGAGACCATGGGGCAGTTAGCTGGGACAGGAAGAAATATACGCTGCAAACTTTTGTTGCTTTAAGTCTTGCAGTGTTTACTTTGTCACACCTCAACTAACTGTCCTCTGGTTTCCGAGGATGAGGACTTTTCTTAGGGCAAATAGTTGTAGATTTTTCGTTGATGCACATCAACAAATGCTTTCTGATGGGAAACAGACACTATACTTCTAATTTATCGCCAGTATGGGTTAATAAGTTGTTTCATCCTCGCCGTTTTTTTTTTTTTTTTTTTTTCTTCTGTTAAAGGACTTGCCAAGAGAGTGCATGCCAGGCTTTTATTAGCTTCAACATCAGAGGTGTATGGAGGTCAGTAGGTAGCTGTTTCCTTTGATGAACTTTTTTCCAAATCTAAGATTTCTTGCACACCATTTGCGAATGTCTGTGAGAGTTCATATGTGAAATATTTTTAATCGCATATTTAGTAACGTCTTTTTTGTGCCAAGAAATCTTGTGTGGGGGGGACTGGGGAACTGAATTTGTTACGGCCATAGGTGTGTTTCCCGGAGAACTATTAACCTACCAAGTTTCGACAGTCTGTGCTGCAAATTGGCGAAGATAGCTCTATTTATATACTCAATATAATATTAGTTGAGTGTGTGACGTCATCAGTCCTCTCATTTGCATATTTTTCACATTTTTCCATCTTAAATATCTCTGGAACTAATGCAGATATTTTCAAACGATAAACGGCCTTTTTATTCTTACATGGAATTCTATGTGATACACCTAAAAAAATCAAGGGCTAAAAATTTGATCATAGTACCACGTTAACAGGTGTATTGTTACAATCTTAATTAGACAAATGACTAAATAATGCGTTGTGTCTGTTCTCTTTCCATATTCATGCCGTATCTTGTGTGCACTCTAGATCCAGAGGTATGTCTTTTGCGTCATAATTTTGTAGCATTTTTTATTTTGGACGCTTATCTGATGAATGTCTGTTCCTTTCTCCTTTATTCAGAAACATCCCCAGCGGGAAGATTATTGGGGTCACGTCAACCCCATTGGACCACGAGCGTGTTACGATGAAGGCAAACGTGTTGCTGAGACCATGTGTTACGCGTATGCCAAACAGGTACGGTGGACATAAAAGAAGATCAAATTTAAAAAAATTAAACTGAGTTTTAAATGAGTTTGATATACGAATTAGAAAATTACTTCATTATGATTGACTGAGCAGGCAAATTTATCATTTAGTTGTTTATTTGTTCTCAGTTTGATTGTGCAAGTTTGAGCATTGGAAAATTCCTCGCGCTATCTTGAGATAATTTTCACATATTACTCGTAGTGTAAATACTTGACTGCATTCTCACTCATACGATTACCTGTCCAAGTGTAACTTGAGTACACTGTGAGACAACAAGCCAGTTATCTGAAGTATTTATCATTTGTATCTCTTGTTAGGAACACGTTGAGGTGCGTGTGGCGAGAATATTCAACACGTTTGGACCAAGAATGCATATGAATGATGGTACAGTGCGGCTTTTGTTTGTTTTGACGACAGCATTGTCTTACTCTTAACTCACCAGTGATGTTCGTTAAGCGTCATATGGTAAGTAATCAAACTCCTTTAGAAACCAGCTTGGGTATACAAAGGTTTCTTTTCCTCTCTCCTCGTAACAGGTCGTGTTGTTAGTAACTTCATCATGCAGGCATTAGAAGGGAAACCATTAACGGTGAGTAATTTAACAGACAGTGTAGAGCACAGATGTTAAAAATCTTCTACAATTACGTTCAAAGTATTTAACTAGTGCGAGGAAGGGTACGCTGCTTTGGAGATGACGAAAATGAGGTATTACTGAATTCATGTATTAATTCAGGCATGGATACGTTGAGCAGTCATTGTTCAGGCTAACTTTCAGATTAGCACTACTTCTTCTGTTTAGTTCTGAGTTTTTTTGCTGTTCTAGTTTCAGTTTTAATATGTATGTAATTTTGGTTTCAATAAACAAAAAGAAAAAATAACAATCATAAAAGACGCGGAGGCCACGTCAACACTAGCTGGTTTCCATGCAGGTACTCAATCCAGCTCGAATTGGAATTGGAAAATGCTGGATTTACAGGAGGGAAGAAAACTCGACTGTCTGGTAACATGCCCACGTAAAATGCTATAACGTGATTGGCTCTTGGTTCGCGGGAAAATAATCGATAAATAGCCTTCTCGGGAATCTAGTAGCACAAGTCCCAAACCAGAGATTTACACTTACAGCATTATAAACTTCTACAAGAACTCATCCAGCCCACTCTTGTACCGTTGTTTCGTACAAGCTAAGATATAAATTAAAATATGTTTGCGTCAGTTGCGGAGTTGTACTGTTTTTTTGTTTTATGACCAGGTCTATGGATCTGGAAAACAAACAAGATCGTTCCAGTACATCAGGTTAGCATCAGGTTTTGTACTCGCCTTAACCCTTTACCTCCTAAGGCGAACGGCAGTTTTTCCCTAATCGGCAAATGAAGACACTCGGCCTGTGTACAATATACCATTTGAAAGCCACTAATCAGCTTATTTAAGAATTGACATCAGCAGCTGTGAAGGAGGTAGACATTTTGACAGAAATTGCTTTAAAATGGGAAAATGAACGTTTTCAAAAATGTATCAATCTTCCACTATATTAGGTATACCCCTAAACTATAGCTTATTTAGCAGCTCTTAGTGCATAGTTTGATATGAAACAAGTCTTGCATTCCATTTGCATCCCGAAAAAGGAACTAAAAACTTCTGGGGGTGGTCAATCATGTCTGGGATGGGAGGGGGTCAAAATTTTATGATTTCAATGAGCAGATCTTCACAAGACAATTTTCATGGAAAAAATTCATAGAAATCTATCAAATATTCACAAAGTTATGACCTTGTGTGCCAATTTGCATTCTTAGGGGGTAAAGGGTTAAGGCTGGAGTAATTTAGAGAGAGCTTTCAAATATCACTCGTCGTGTAGATTGTTATTCACACTCGTATTCATACCATTACGAGATACTTATTCATACGGTAGCTACTGTATTTTTGGTGGGGCAATAATTACAAAAGAGCGTATAACGAAGAAGTTAATTCGTGTTAATTCGTTAGTAGAGGGTAGTACTTCAATCATTGATATTCCCACACGTGTTGCAACCTGTCTTGTACCAATTACGTCTCTGTTTAACTTTTATATTATAGTGACTTAGTTAATGGCCTCATCCTGCTGATGAACAGTAACTTCTCCGAGCCTGTAAACATAGTAAGTAAATATAAAGGTCTTTGGCTGAATGAACAGGGTTCATATTGAATCTGGAAGAGTAGAAAAGTACGGAATTTTTTTGAGTAATTTTCCAGGTCTAGATAAAGTGTGAAAAATTATAATTTAATATCCAAGAGAAATTTTGAATTTTGTCCAAGGTGTGAGAAGTTAACGGATTTTGGATGAGACCTTCGTCTCCTTTTCGATCGTATGACCATGTACTCTAGAGCTTGAGAACGAAAGAGATACTGAAAAACAAGCATGTTAAAGATCTTGAATTTCTATAGACAAGAATTTGTATGAACCCTGTTCGAGCCACGGTTGGTATTTGGTGAAACGCAGTGATTCGTTTTACAATACCCATGGCAATTCCAAATGTGATCGTCTTCGAAAAATAATATCAACGACATCGTCTTAGTTTGTTTTTCGTTAAAGTGTTGTTAATTGGCTGGCACCAGTTTTAAACTTTCGTTGCTAATAAGTGGCCTGACTCATTAAGGGCAGGATAGGCGTGTTCCTGGGTCAAGAAATTTATTTCTAAAATTTCTGATTGAAGAGAGACACAAGCGTTTTTGTTGGCAGTTTGATCGAACTTTGGGCTGGTCAATTTAATTACCACAGTATTGAACTGTATTCGCCGAAGAATTAGAATTAATGTGTTTTGTTGGTGGTGATGTTTAACAGGGGAACCCAGTAGAATACACAATTATGAACTTCGCGGAGATGATCAAAGATGCTGTGGGTAAGACTCAGTAATATTAAACATTCTGGCTTTACTAACTTGCGATCAGGCGGAAGACAAAAAAAAAGTACAGTAATGCGTGCGTTTTTGCTACTCTTGACCAAGGTTAGCATTTTGAAAATTTATCGATCTTTATAAGCTTTATCGTCTTTCACAAAGGCAGTGATTTTGTAAGTGGCTTAGGCTGAGGGCGTAATTTTGTTTACGTTTCCACGAACAGACAGTCCCTTAAAATCAGGAAAATAGATAAGAATTCACTCATCCGCAACTGATTGACGCTAAACCTCTCACGTTTACGGAAATCGACAAACGGTAGACCGCAAAGGTGGTATTGTTACTGTTCGCGGGAAATGCCGAGTCTCTGTAATATGTTATGCCCGGGAGCGGGGAAGGGAAGGTGAGTACTCTCTTATATGGGTTATATAGGTATGTGCGGCCCCAAAGGGTATGGTTTTTCAGCCGTTTTAGTCACAAACAGGGTATCGATTTTGGCCACTTTGGTCATAAATAGGGTGTGGTTTTTGCACTCTAGTCTTGAACTGGGTTTGTTTTTTAGAAGAAGCTACTTCTTCGTCATTATCGATGAGACTATCAACAAAAGCCCTTCATAAATTATGTTTAGGACAACTGAATACATGCGGCAATGGTCATAGGGAATAAAATTTTTGGTCAACTCATAAATAGGGTAGGGAAAATCACAGACCTTGGTCATAAATAGGTTTTGGGTAGTGGGCCGCACATCCCCACGCAATTTTTCTGGGAGTAGCCCCATGAATAACAATAACCACTCAATTGTCTTTAATTAGAAAACTGGGAAACTTGACGAGTGGGTCAGCGAATGCTTAGAGCCAAGAGAAAACAGCCCAGTCAGAATTATATACTTCGCCACTCGTCTATATGTTNGGGGGGGGGGAATTTCCCATATAAAAAGGCTGGGGGTCGTCATACCTTTTAGGGGTTAAAAAATCGGGTTTGGTACCTCTTTGGGTGTTCAGCCTAAAAAGGTTGACAGCAGGAACTTTTGCAGTGCCTCTTAGGGTATTGAGTCAAAAAGAGTCAATGTCATTTAATGTGTTATTTGAGAAATGTGACCTCGTAGGGAATCTTAAGCCATGCCCACAAAACAGGATCTTGGCACCTCTTAGGGGTTCTTTTCAAAATTTCTGACCTGTACAGTCCTTTATATATGGGAGTCCCCCCCCCCCCCCCCCCCCGGGTGCCTGGGGATTATTATGACGTCTTTTCTGTACCAGTCACTTAATGCAATTTTTATGTCTGAGCTGAAAGTGTTAACTGTGTTCTGTTGATATTTTTTCAGGCGGTAAAGAACCAGTTTTGAACGTTGCAAAGATGGAAGACGACCCACAAAGACGTAAGCCCGACATCTCTCGCGCTAAAAATATCCTTGGCTGGGAACCTAAGGTAAGAGCGATCAACTTCTATCTTCTCACAACGGTATCAATACATTGATTAGCTGACACTTGATGAGAATATTGAAATTCGTCAACCCAAGGATATTGTCTCAATGCGGCAAAACCTTTCAAAATTAGGAAAGAAGCCAAACCGAATGCAAACAGTAATTTAAACGTGGAAAGATTGTAATAGGATTTCGATGTCTGGTTTGCTTTAATTTGAGGAAAGGCGTGTAATGGAACATTTCAGTCATCGAAGTGATGAAGGCTCAATTCTCTGTAACAATTCGTACCTTGTCAAGCACAGAAGGTATGAGAATAAAGAAAATAATCAAGTAACTCACATCACCCAATTCTGGAAACTAACATTCCATAACGCTCATAACAACGGGTGTTTCCCTTATGGAACGCAAAATAAGCTATATGTAATTTTTCTTTTCTTTTCTTCAGGTGCCTCTGCTTGTCGGCCTTAACCGAACAATTGAATATTTTAGAAAAGAACTCGATAAGTCGAGGAAATCCAAGTTGGTTGATCTGTAGCCAGGAAGAAATCCGGCGTGTGTGATCGAATACAGCCTCTGGCCAGAGAAGACGAAGCTGTAACAACAACGAAATTAACCTAAATTCGATCTTACGGGAAGAAGAAATTCTACGTATTCGCGGCATTAATGCCTTTTTCTTTGTTGGCATAAACGATGTACAAGAGAACCTCGCTATCTTGAACTCAAATCATTTTCCCTTGAATACACTTTTTCAGTCACTTGACTTACTATTGGCCATCGAACCGCCGTCCTCTTAGCTATTTCTTGTTTTTCTAAGATTTCGAGATAGCGGAGTTAACTGTAATATAAATGTGGCCGCCTAAATTTAGACTGCGAGCAGTCATCATTCTGTTATACAACGTGACTCGAGGAAAAACGCGACATCTCAAAGCCTAGTATAGAGTTAGGCGTGGTTAGAGTGTAGTTAACTTACACAACGCCTACTTTCTTGTATATGAAGTTCGACTTAATCTTCAGCCACGCTAGAATGGCAGAAAGTCAATTTTTCATCAGCTCTATTTAATGTTTACATTAAGTTATCGTCAACATTATTAAAATTTAATGTTTACATTTTGAAGTTGTTGTCCTATAATTTTGTTTTACGGACATTTCTGTTCTGGTCATGACCGCGCTGTATTAATTCGTCGGACAAAGCCGTTACAAATTCTTGACATCATACACTTTCTCACAATCATATTCCAACATACGGTTGATTAACCCTACCCTCCGTTATCTTATTCCTCAAAGAACCTGGAGTGGTTTGCTTTGTGGAGCAAGGCATGTAATGTAATGGGAGGGAGGGGGGACCAAACAAATCGAACACTTAAGATGGCAAGTATTTTGCTGCCGTTTCAACTCCGACATACAATTGTTAACGACATGTTACAAGACATCTATTAGTCCGATCCTATCTCATATACTAGTACAACGCCCAAATCAATGCAATTTGCAGTCTTCACAGTCACGAAACCTCAAATTTTCCCGGCTGCAGACAGACCGGAACGAAATTACGCTATAGCCTTATTCGTCGAACGCAAAAGCTCAACTAGCAAGAGCATGCTATCTTGGTGTCAGTAACACGAAATTCGGACAGCTTGCACAAACGAAATGTGAGGAAAAATACCCAGACACCGCGTCCCTCTTGACCAGCGGTGGGTAAACGTGAAACTCAAACTAGGTTTCGTCGTCAGTGTACGCCAGGACGCTATTTTACAATTGATTTCTGCCTGTTTCAAAGTGACACCTGCTACAAAACACTTCACATGAAAATAACCTTCCCTTACATGTTCATTTTCATTTAAATGAAACTCATTTATGAGCCAGATGTAATTTTGGAACTTGTTGAAGTCACCTCGCGGATACCACCAGAAAGACGAAGTGACGAGAATCGTTTTTAACACCGGCTTTATTGGTATAGTTCAGGTATTTGCTAGCGACTTTTCGCTCGTACACCTGTATTGAGATTTGCTACAGGAAATAGGAACTCTGTAATTGCATTCCTGTTCCTTAAAAATTTAAATTATCTGATAATATTAATGAATATCTTGAAGATTTCCATATAGACAACGAGGACTTCATGAAAACTCAACTATTTCAGGTTGATCCTCACAATGGCTAAAATGTTGCTGAATAAAATTTACAGAATAGATTATAAAAAAAAGAACTAAAATGCAATTATTTCATTACTGTACATGCTCAAAAGGCAAAAAACCGAAAACTTTTAAAAGCCTCTGTCAAATTAACCAATAAAAATAACATTTGTGTAAAAAATAAACTCTAAAGAATTTCTGTCCATTTATTGGCTCAACCAAATAAGGGAGTGATTGACAGCTGAGTTAGGAGTTTCTTGAACTGGCTTCTTTTGCTGCCAGAATGAGCGGGACCAAACTTGCCAACGGCTTGGCTTGCTTTAAAAATGGATGCTGCAAGGCAAAAGGAAAGAAATATTGAGTTGAAGGGACTGGGCTTGGTAAGACCACCTCAACTGTTCAATACAAAAAAAAAAAAAATTAACTGTTGCCTTAAACGGTTAATTATACCAACACATGTTGAACTTATAGCCTTGGTGAATTAGCGTTTTACTGATCTTGCTTGGAGAAGGATTACCACTCAAAGCGCCACCTTCACTAACTTCTGCACGGTGGTCAATCTACAATTATCATTGTTCTTTTGCCAACTTCAAGCTCACCATTAACAAAATTCCCTGCACATGCAGCTCAATAGTTTCTTTAGAAACTTGAGTCATCAACAGTGAAACTAGAAAACCAACTGGAAAACTTGTAGCAAATAGGATAACCAATAAGCTTTTGTACCTGCAACAATTCTCTAGCTCCAGTTCTCTTATCTACGTCCATTTCCAGTGACTGCGCGAGGAAATCTTTAAATACTGGAGATAATTTTTCTGGGTGCGCTAGTTCAGGAGTGCCATTTGTTGCTATCAAGTACAAGGCCTAGAGAAATGACATCAATAGCATCGGTATAACGAAAATTGGTCGAGTAAATGACTTTACTCCAAGCACAAATGTAATATTTTTAGCATATCACTAAAAGAGTAGAGCAGGAAAGAGCGACACTGTTGTAACCAACAAAAATTCCATTTTCGTTCAGCCTGAATATCAGTCCTCTCCCGGTGCAGGACCAAGAAGACGAAACAAATTTCAGGCTCGCTCTTGCCGTAATGTAACAAACAAATTACCAATAACTACAATGTTTAAGGACTGACCTTTAGTCACGTGTGAAGAAGTGACTAGAGGCTGGTGTGTAGCTATAAGAAAAATCTTGAAAAGCCAAAAAAAAAAAACAATTGTAGCCCACTAACCACTTGGTGCACAAGTTTGGATGTAAAAAAAAAACCCTTAATTACTTACTCTGAGAGGATTTTCATTCAAATATGGAGGTTCGCCTTCAACCATTTCAATTGCCATAATTCCTAAACTCCAGATGTCCACCTATGGTGATAAAACAAGGACTTAAATTATTTTTCCATCATGGTAGCAAACGTTAGTGAGAGGCAGTAAAGTTGCGCATGAATATCTAATGACAATATTCTGCCATGAAAACAATCAGGTTTACCAAAATAACTCCACAGATTGACAAAGAGTGTGTTCCTTTGGGATGATCCAAGTCAATATTAATGACCCATGGAACACACACGGAACAGACCTGCTAGATAACTTTTATTTCCTATCAGTGACAAACGATTTAGCCAAGTGAGATGACTGTGCAGTGTGGACTTACTTTTGGACCATACTGTTTCCTTGTCACTACTTCAGGAGCCATCCAGTATGGTGTTCCTACCATGGTGGAACGTTTAGACTGCTCTGGAGTTATTTGCGCACAGAAACCAAAATCGGCTGAAAGACGAAAAGAATCATTTTGTTGTTACCAAAAAATATGCAAGGCTCCAAATTAAATCTATTCCTGATGTTCTTGTTTGTCAGTAAACTTAAAGTGTCATGATCTTGGGCTACCAGAATTGACATAAGAAAACCATGAAAGCATCGGAATGAATACCTGTTCACGAATGCCCGGTCTACAGCCTCAAATTTAACTTACATGTATACATGAAAAAGAACCTAACACTTTAACCATAACTTATAATGTAATTCTTCCAAATCAAATAGTGCTGCACTTTTAGAAGCACATCCGCTTGAAATACGTGTTAGTAGTGTTCTCAATTGTCCCTCTGTGGGTGATTAAAAATAGTGAGCATTCCCGATACAAACGCAGTGGCATGTCTTACGTGTAGAATGACACTTGTACAATTGCATGTACCGTAGTTATAGTTATGAAACTATGACAACAGAACAGTACAGCTTAAGCACTTACTAAGCTTGACTTGCCCATCCATCCCTAAAAGAATGTTATCGCTCTTGATATCTCTGTGAATGACGCCATTACTATGCAGAAACTCAAGGGCCTGGAGACACTGATTTAAGAAAGAAAAATAAAAAGTTGATTCATCACACAGATTGAAGATGGGTAGGAGACATCTGAAGTCTGCTCTGAAGCATAATGGATATTTCATAGGTAGGCCCTCTTTGGAGTTGTGGACACCACTGAGATAAATGCAGCACATTAAAATCACTTTGTACAGCAAAATCATAGTGAGTGGTAATAAATGGGCAACACACTTTTCACATTCCTTAATTTTACCTACCTCTCTTGATACTGAAGCAATCTGCCCTTCATCCATACAAGTCTCTGTTACAACATCTGTTAAAGAGCCCCCGGCTAAATACTCCATTACAACCTAGAGGAAGAGAAACAAAGCTATGCTAAACTCAGTAGGCTAGCATGTGTATCTGAAATGTACAGTGTAACAATGTAAGCTCAAGCAAAGTCATCTGGTTGAGAGGCTATGTGGCTGATTGATTCAGAGTGCTGTTCTCAACATTTGCACTAACTGCATTTGTTCTCACTTTTTAAACAAAACCTAACCAGCTGGTCAGCTTTCTGCTAACTGGGATTGTTATCATGTTTTTCCTTCTGTTTACATTATTAAGTTTGTGATTAAAAGCTGAGTCAACAGAGCATTCATGATTGTTGCGACTTACCCATAACTCTTCTCCTACAAGGTAACTATCCACATAGTTGACAATGTTGGGATGTTTGTTCTCCCTCATCACCAGAATTTCATTGATAATTAATTCCTGAAATTATGGCATAAGAGCCAAAATATTGGTATTGATATATAAAATGAGATTAAAACTTGTCTAAGAACTGCTTTATTAGAGCTGACAATAACTAAAAGTTTTGGTTTACTTCTTTTTAATTGTTGTTACCTTCTTTGGTTGTTGTGACAAATTCATCTGTTTGATGGCAACCTAGTAAAATAAAGTGACAATATAAACAAACAAGGGAAGACACTACTTAACATTCCACACTGGCCTATTCTTTTATAATTTCTGCAGAGAAAGTTGCATGCAATGAATTCAAGAATTATCCATGCCATTGTTGCATGCTCTTAACAAATGGCTTAATTAAGACTCTGGTCCAAAGTCCCTCATGGATGTAAAGTATTAGCTCTAATTTCACGTGATGCGTTTCGCAAAATTTATTTTGGAATTGTGTAAGGACATAATTTTTAACTTCTTGTAGCTTACTGTACCTCATGACCTGTAGCTACTTCAATTGCTGTATAGACTGTGCCAGATGCCCTGAAAAGAGGCAACATTAACTCTTCAATCTACAAATATACATTTACTGTAGCCATTTCAGAAATACAGCAGATTATTCTGTGTTGTGAGCTCACTTTTTATAAAAAAAAAATACAGGACAAGTCACAGTCTTCAAGGAGCCTTCATAACTTGGAAAAAGACAAACATTTCTACAGTACATATTACATAAAAATACATTTTTGAGGATCTCGAGTACCAACAGACTTGAGGTTTCTTACCCCTGACCAATCTTTTCAAACTTTGTGTATTTCCTTTTAGGATCCCCAACACTAACTATGGTACCTGGAAATAGACAATTAAAACATTATTATGTGAGATTCAAGTAACTGTAGTTCTAACATATCATTAGATGCCTATGGTGACAACAAAAAGGTGTATTCATAATGTAGAAAGAAAAAAAACAAAACAAAACATCAAACCACCGAAAATGAAAGTACAGGTGAGAATTTAACTCACACATGTAACTGAACACTTATTAAATTCAATGAACTCTGAAAATCCTAAACTCAACCAGTGAATACAATAAATGCCTCAATCAATCGAAATGATTTTTATGACAGGCAGCATACGTAGTACCCTTTAAAATTAAAATATAAAAATAAAAAGTTTGATTGAATTTTGGACTTCAGTGCTTGCATATTTTGTAAGATGATGTAAGATAATAGACCCATGTTCAAAGACATGGGGAGATGAATGAGTACAGTTTGCCATCAGTAGTAATACCCAACAAAATACACAATACATTGTGATCTGCATGTTCAGTCGTGTGTAACAAAAGAATTAGCATACTAATTAGAATTCATTAACCCCCGTAATTGTGAAATCACCTCCACTGTGTGAGGAGGGAAAATTGGGTCAGATAACTTAAGTTCTAAAAGGAACAATTTATCATGTAATGATATCCCAAGTCAAGTCATCAGCTGTAGCAAGCATAGACATCAAGATAGTGAATCAAAGGGATCTTAAGACTCAGGAACACAAATTGTAAGTCTCGAACTCATTTGTCGCTTCAACTGAGAATGTTGTAAATAGTTATTTATCTTGCAATTATTTCAATTTCAGTTGACTATGATGTAACCACAGACACCACGGGCCATGTATACTCTGGTGCAAATAAATCCGACAAATTTGATCCCTGGTAGGCTAATCATCCAACTAAGTAGCACCTTCAACCATAGAAGTGAACCACATTGTATTCCCAGGTATTCAGTGGAGAACCAGAAAAATCTGTAAACCAACCAACCCTGCATTTTCTACTAGACTAGCAATCAGGAACTTACGTAGTCTAGCATGAATCTCCTCATCAGACATCTTTTTCTTCTTCCGGTCTCTTGTTTGTGCTTTTGGTTGTTCATTTGAAGTCCCTGAACATCATAAGATACACAACAAATTTAAAAAATGACAGTAAAACAACAATTACTGTTATGACTAGCAAGTTCTCCATAACATTTTTTGTATTCGTATTTGTATTTTTTTATTTCTCCACTTGACGTCATGAAAGCAATATTGGCAACACATAAGTCCACTGAAAAAACAAAAATTCCATTACATAAAAAATTAAATGTATATCACGAAGGTGGAGTTTACCAAACATTGTGAATAAGAATCAAGAAAAAAACTCTGACCTTTGTCATCTTCTTTGGCTGCTGGCTTTGTGGAAACTTCATTTGGTATGTACTGAACCATGTCAGAATAGAAAGAAAAAAAAAATTCAACATTATATTTAAAAAAAAAACAAAAACAAAAAAACAGTTTGGTATGAATGTGGTGAGCAAGAACATTTTCACAGTCATGTGGTCACATTGATGTTCCTAACCAATAAGCAATGTTTATGTTCAGCTGTAAGAAAGAACTAGTTCATTCAAGAAGAGAAATTCATATTGTAAGAGAAAAGCAACCCTAGAGAAATTCGAGAGCCACGATATCAACATAGCCACTATTACATGAAAATACTGCGGTGTGCTTGATCAATATATCTATACACTGTACTAAACATGTGCCATTCTTTAAGTGCTGTTTAATAGTTACAATCCTTGCCTACTTGGCAAGTAAAGTTGTTTTGATGGATGAATAAAGGCCAACAAGAAAGGCCTACAGTGTACATGTAAGCCTAGCATTCAATTTGGCTGCAGCTGATTCAGAGCTAACTGCAAAAATTCCCTTCTTTACACTTGAGAATGGTATTACCCATTTGGAGAAGGGTCTACATTCAAGAAAAAATTACAAAAGTTTACATTTTAAGGTTACCCTGACCTTCTTGTCTTCATGTTTCTCATAAGTGACAAAAACAATGTGCAGCAGTCAGTACAAATATCAGTTTACCTTAGACTTTGTGTGTTCTGGCCTTGATGGAATGGCTGGTGGCACATCAGGTTCAGGTTCACTGTGATTCTCTGCTGCCAAAGTCTGGAAAGTAAATGATGATGGCTATTGTTAGTCAAAGTTTTGAAAACAACCATTTGCTTGTCATTTGTGACCAAAGCTGATCTTACATGTGTTGGAGTGGCGTGCGGTGGAAGTGGCGGTGCATATGTGTTATCACCAATCTCAGGCCGTTGAGTCTGTGTTAAACCTGTGTGAAAAAGTAAAATTTTACTTGTACCACTTAAATTCTTAACTCTGACTTGACTTTTTGCTTCACAGTTATGTATGTAGTAAAGCTTACTTACGGGGTATGGGCTAGACATTTTTAAACTAAGTTTACTTAAGACCTTAGTTGACAATTAGTGTTAATAGACAATTTCACAATTAATCCATCACGTCAAAAATGGGGTAGACATGGTGCGAAATAATGTTCTACATGTACATGTCAAATAATTCAGCAAACGTTTTGTTCTGATTTCAGAGATAATGTTGATTTCATTTGGAAACTATGATATGCCACAAAGTGCAATTTTAATTGTCCACAATAGGCTCTCAAATCTTCTGGAGTGCATGGGGTAAAATATTTTGGCAAATATGTACAAAGATTAAGTAAATATGACAAACGTGGATAGTCCATTAAATATAAATTTTGGCGAGCGTAGTGATGCAAAGTGTTCAAATTTGAACTTCACGCAACATCTTTGCCTGACATTACGACAATACTCTGTATCAATGAGTAAAGTTTGAATTTTCTTTTTTATTGCCTGTATTTTTCAAGCTGTGTTTGCCCAATTTTCAAACTAGACGATGTTACCATGATTAAGCACCACAGTAATCTTGTAACTGTCCTAGGACACCCAGGGTTAGCAAGTTGGGGACGAAGGGGGAGTGGGGGTGGCAGAGAGAGTTAAAGAGGCGGGGGAAAAATTGGCAAAGCACAAGTGGAAAGAGAGCAAGGAGCCCCTAGCGAAATAGTCTTACCATACCGGTTCCCAACAACCCTGTGAATGCTTGCTCCTGATTGGACAGAAAAATTACTTTGTGTTATTCTGCCCAATCAGTGAGCAGCAGGTTCACAGTCAATTTGGTGTGATCTAATACAAAGCCTCTGTAAAGGCTAGTTTGTTTGCCATATTTGGTCTGGTCTTGATTCAAAATTACACATTTCACTTTCAAGTGAAACAACTTTCTATGGTACATGTATCATTTCAGTTTCCTGTCTGGTATGTATCAAATTCAGAGGTAACAATTAACAAGGAGGGTGCTGAAAGTCTTCAAAAGACCAGCTAAAAAGAAAGTTCTTTATACTAGTATCACATAAAACATTTTATAGACTAGCCTTATCACAATTCCTCTGTCTAAATTATGGTGTGTAGTTGATAAAAATTCGACTTATAATTAGTGACTTAGCAAAAATTTTGTGCATTAATTTGTGATTCCTCAATGTGAATTGTAAAAGGCTGAAGCCATGATTTGGGGACACATTGTGCAACAAAAAATTAGCCAACTATGCATTTGATAATGTTACAAAGTAAGGGGTTGATCTATTAAGTTTAAAACATTCACAATAAAGTTGAACCATTTAGGTTGACTGTTCATTGATTTATTTTATTGACAGTTCAATGTTAACATGTTTAAAAAGAAGTCAGATGCTGACTTGGACTTCTCAACACTTTCAACACCATAATGATTATAGCCATGCATGCACAATTAACAAAATGTCAATTTTCTCTTCAAGTTAGGGAAAACAACCATGAAGAATTTGAGATACGATTTCTTTGGTAATATTGGCAAACAAGTTGAAGACAGACATGCAAATAGCAGATGAACCGAGCTGATGATCGAAAAGAATGATGCTGATGATGCAAGAATCCAGTAGCCCACGCATCTGCCTTCTTGCCTTAAAAGAACATTGTTAACCTACACTTGGAATAAATATATTAGTAAGATCTTCAACTTAAAGAAAAGTGATTAGCTCACGGCAAAAATAATATTAACTCAAACAGTTCTTGTTCAACGATTAGTGAAAACTTTAATGTTAAAACTTTTATAAGCAGATTTAATCTTACTATTAATAATTAAATTAGGACGAAACAAAATACCTTGAGAATCAGAAGAGATGCGTTGTGAGTATTTATTAGGAGAAGATAAATTCGAGTTCACACTCAATTTCTCAAGTTCATCAGCTAATGACCCTGGCGATGACCCAGTTAGTGAACTTGAAGTGTCTGATTGAGATGTAAGAAGAGCACGTGTTGGTGAAGGAGACGACAACTTCCGTTCGTCCCTGTTAACTTTCCTTCTTGTTTCATTGCCTGTTGAGCTGGTAGCTGGTAATGATTTCCTCCGTTTCTTTGAATTCCGTTTAATAATTAGTTTCAAGCCGCTTTTAGAGGAATGTTTGTTCTTAGTAGAAGTACAACTAAATGGTGAACATGTTATTTTCATATCGGCAGGGTCGTCCAAGGCAGATGAATTGTAGCGTGGGCTACTGGATGGTGACGCTGACAAGTGACGTGATGGTGGTACAGTATCACTTGATGAAGTGAGGTCTATTCCTTCGCTAGAAGTTGCTACAATAGAATACATGCTGGATATCACCCACACATCATTCCTGTGTCAGTTATTGTGATGATAAGAAGGAACCTTTTATCCTTTCTTCAACTGAAAATATTTTAGTTAAATTTAGTTTATCCTGACTCTGGTGCCATGCTATTAACCCAATGATTAATTCATTAAGAGCATTTCATTTTTAATAGGAGCATCTATTGGAAAAACCATTAGGAAGAGTCATTCCAAGACAACGTTGACAAGGTTACATGTTAAATCAACCATTTCTTTTACTGACTTGTACTGCTCACAACTAAGCGAACATCGAAAGCATATTCTTAACACGAAGGGTTAAATGTGCGCACCCATTTTGCTAGGTGACTTCACGTTATAGTGCGTTAAAGTGAACACATTTGTACATATGAGCTTGGTTATTATTCACTTCTTTTTTTACTGTGTGAAAGGAAGTTAACGACCTTTCTAAAGATACCATTCAGTATGAATATGATGTGTTTTCAAGGAGCAGACAAGTTCTACTTCTTTAGTACCGGCTGAATATAGCGGCAGTTACATACACACCATTTTGTTTTGGCTGTTTGAATTCATCCAGCTTACAAATAAAATGATTTGCATTTCGAAAAATCAGCATATAAAGATAACTGGGCTCTCAAGTGGCACTGTGAAAAAGTCAACAGACAACAGAAGGAATTTTTTATTTCTAAGATCATTATCTTGTCTAGACATCTGGCAGCCAGGAAGTGTTTTCAAAAACCTAGATACCCAGCAGTCTGAAATTATTATAGAATTTCAACACAAAAATTAATTAAATTCTTCTTAGAATAGAAGATTTGTTTAGAAATGTCAAGTAATTTTAAGTATTATTTTGGCTTTGTAATTGAGGAAATTTTCAAGCTGGGGCCTATTATAAAATCTCAATGTTTCGACACTTGCCATACTCTGACTCAGGAGCTAACTCTCATACACTTACGTCCAAACAAATTACAGTTGAACCCCTCTGAGAGTACTCAATATTTGTTTAAATGCCAAGTGAAATAACAATCTCATTTTGTAGTAGTGGAATTCTCTTAGCTTCGGCATACTAAAAAAAATCTCGATTCACAGGCATGGTTGTTCAATAAACTTGACAAGATGTTTGTTTTAATTCATACAATGTTGCTTCAAGTCATTCATTCGCGAAAATATGTTCTGCAGTTTCTAATAAAACAATATTGTAAGAAGTAGCCTGAATAGCGCTTTCAAACGATACCGTTGGATGAAACTATTTTTTGCCGATGCTAGAAAAGACCATTTACAAGACCGGCAAATGTTTACTTCTCTTGTTCCAGCTGTTATTATAAAATTCCATCATACTTACTAAGTTTACAAAAAAAAAAAAAAAAAAGTTTACATATAACAACATTCGAAGTGCAATAAATGTTTTGCAGTATTAACCTAGTGTGAACCAATTACTCAAGAACAGCTAGTTTCCAGTCAAGTTTTGTTTTGTTTGACTCCAGTGGAAAAAGGAAATATTAAGGCATCAAAATCTCTTGAAAATGTAAAATTATCGCCCCTCACATCTGCAAGAAATGCTGTGTAAACACCTCAATGGATGTCATAATTTTCATTCAGTGGGCTGCTTTTATTGCTTGAACTGAATGGAACTGATCACCATTTAATAATCTTTAAACTTTAATTCTTTGGTGGTTTCCCTTCGAAGGCATAAGGTTTTTTCCTCCTCACGAAATTTACAGACTTACAACTTTCTCCAGTTAGATTGCATATCAGGTGCCCAATCAATCTGTTGTTTTCATTATTTCCATCTCTGTTTGAGAACAGAGTTGTATTTTCACAAGGCAACTGAGTTTTTTACGGCAGAGACACATGTCTCCTAGTTCCAGAAGAGCTGGAAGACAGTTTTTTCTTTCTGCAGTATGTAAAATAATCAAGAAGGTGAACCAACACGTGATGATTAAAACTTGTACCGTATAATGCCTTTCAAATTATTAAGTATCAAAGCAAGTTACAGTTATACTCAAGACACTCAAAGGAAGGCACGAAAGAAGCGTACACTTTGAAATAATATACATGTCACAACACGAGCAGTCACATTCAGGTGAGCGAGTTCAAAGTTTCAGGCTAACTACGATGGTTTGCCACGAAACTGTTCAAATTTGTTTGTCATCATGTCAACATCAAAGCAAATTATTTCAGTGGTACAGTCGAATCTCGATTGTCCGGACTCGTCGGGACCTCAGTAAATAGTCCAGATAATCGAAAGTCCGGATAATCGAAAACATGTTTATTAATGAGATAGAAATGTAAACAAAAGGTATACAGCAAAGAAAACATCATTTTAATTGTGAAATTATGTATGTATTTACAAATAAAAACTTTCAGTTCAGGTATTTACAAAGGTCTAAAAGGTTCAAGCATGTTTGTTTGCTTCAAAGACTTGTAGCTTGATCAGGGACTTTCATTTTAATCCTTCACTTGTCTCGATGCTGTCAGTAAATTTTAGGATTTTGTCTTTGTTCTTCTGTATGTCAGAGATCTGCTGCTTGCTGATGCCAAATTCTTGAGCTAAATTTGTTCCTTTCTCTCCTTTATCCAAACGTGAAACAATTATCTGCTTATCTTTAATCAATAGAACGGCTCGCTTTCACTTAGTAGACATGTTTTTGATTTGAGTTTACGATCACTCGCTCGTGTGTTTACATAACCCATGCGGAAGGAACTAATCAAGCATNAGGGCTGTTTTCTTTGAGGAGTACATCAGCTCACATCAATAGCTATCAATGAGGGCATAAGTTGCCATCAAAGTGTCGGAGAGATTGCGTGTTTACTGCCCCAGCAGTCGCACGAAGCAACAATGATAATTATTAGACAAGACAATTTTCGTGATGGAAGCTCTATCAAAATTCCTGTGGTCTATTATAGGGCTGGGTGAAACGTCATGTGAATCACCTGAGGCAAAATATTCATACGGTTGAAGAGTTTAAGGCACAAATGCTTAGTCTACTTATCTTTCCCGTACGAAAATAAGGAGCGAGACAAAATCCGGCAGCGCAGCAGGCATGTTTTTGTGGATAAAAGTTTGTACTCACAACAACAAAAGTAAGGGTGGCTGTTATCAGTATGCCGTGCGTAGCGTGCGCCACTAAACTGGGGACATGGGGATATAAATGCTAAATGTCAACTCAAGCGAGAACACTTTGGTGAATTACAGAGCAGATTCATTCTCCGAATCCCAGGGGCAGCCAGTCGGGACGACGCGATATTTTCGAGTGATAACTCTTGTTGTAAACTTTCGCCCGAAAATGTCGCACGGCCGGAAATATCGAGATTCCGACTAGAAATCTACTAAGACGCAACGATGAAGGGCAAATAGTGAGTATAATAATTTGCTATCTAGCCATGTGGATTTACGTTATACGGGGTATAACAGTGTAACTGAGGACATTGTAAATAAACAACACGTATTGCAAATAAAACGGAAACTTTTTATAAAACCAGCAGTAAATCCATGTTGCAAGGCAACTTACAGTAATTTATTTAACACAAAGCACTTGCTAAACCTGTCGTTTATTGGTGCACAGGGTTCTGATAAACCTCAGTTATGATATAAACTGACATCACTTCTACCTTTTAACATTAGGTTTTTGTCATTTTATCCCTGATCCAAAATTATATCAATATTAAGAAATTTTATCATGGTCTAGACTAAAGATGTAGTCAAGTGGTTATATTCTGCTCAATATGATGCAGACGTCTTTGAGCTCAAATCAGCACCAGAAAAAACACCGAAATAAAATACCTAGTCATTTTGACCTATTACTTAAATTGTGTATTTTTCAAAGTTTTAAGATATATTTACTGTCATACTATTCTCTACAAAGAAGCTGAAATAAGAAACAAACAAACAAGCCCGAATCTTGTTTACGCCGTTCATCTCAAACATTGGGTTTTGAACGACAAACTTCTTTAATCTGCAAAACAAAATAAAAAACAGCTGAGTCTTTTACTCAACGGCAATCTTATCACCTTTTCATATTCATTAAAGTTACAGTCGAACCTCGATTATCCGGACTCGTCGGGACCTTGGTAAATAGTCCGGAGAATCGAGAGTCCGGATAATCGAAAACATGAATATTAATGAGATAGAAATGTAAACAAAAGGTATACAGCAAAGAAACATCATTTTAATTGTGAAATCTACACAGCCTGTATGTATTTACAAATAAAAACTTTCAGTTCAGGTATTTACAAAGGTCTAAAATGTTGAGACAATCAGATTTCAGCTGAACGCATCAGAATATTTCTTTGTCTCGTCGCACTTGCGAATTTTGAAAAGCCCACAGGATAATATGCTGTTTCAACAGTCTTTTGAAAGGATTATTGGGCTTTTTACGACTTTGAGTTTTCAAGATCACAACTAATTGATATTCATGAAAAAATTGGGACCAGAGAAAAAGTCCGGATAATCGAATAGTCCGGATAATCGAGGTCCGGATAATTTCAATACTTTCATCAATGGACAGAAAACCCTGGTTAATTCTGTAGAAAAATCGAGGGGTGTTTCTCGGGAAAAGGGGAAAAAAAAAGAGATGCTTATTTGAGTAACCGCAAGTGAAAAAAACACAGGGTGTAATTTGAAAATAGACCTTAATTTAGGGACCAAACAGCAAGTGGCTCAAAAAAACCAGAATCGCCGGCAACTCTCTCTGACCACTCACCAGAACAAGCCTTTGATTTGATAACCGGAATCTCTTCCATGAGTTTGGCAAAGTCATTCACCAGTGTTACAGGGTTATCAGCACCTGCAATCTGACGAAGAGTCTCGAAGTTTATTCCTTTACCAATCCCCACTGCTTCTGTATAAATATCCTTTGCCTGTTAGAAAGGACAAAAGTTGTAGTGCACGCCGTATATATGATTAGAAATAAAAAGGCTGGGTGGCAGACGCACAAAGAGATGATGAAAGATAAATGGATGATGTAGTAATGAATAGCACTGTACAGCACTGTCCCGCACAGCACAGCACAGCACAGCACAGCACAGCACAGCACAGCACNCATCACACTTGCGAATTTTGAAAAGCCCACAGGATAATATGCTGTTTCAACAGTCTTTTGAAAGGATTATTGGGCTTTTTGCAACTTTGAGTTTTCAAGATTACAACTAATTAATATTCAGAAAAAATTGGGACCAGAGAAAAAAGTCCGGATAATCGAATAGTCCGGATAATCGAGGTTTGACTGTAGCAGCACAAAGCGGTTCTGTGAACCGTCAAATTTTCAACTTGCGCTTGTTAATTTACTGTGTTTTGATTTGAATTTGCTTTGCATGGATTTTAAAATCACTCATTTGTTTTGAACTGAAGTCATGCTTTTTCACCATAACAATGCATCACAAAGAGAATACTGGTTATGAATAACAAAGGCTAATGCATTGGAAAAAATGCGTGGCCCTGACGCGATGGCAAAAAGGCCTGGGCCATTTTTTCACATTAGGGGTTCGTTAAGAACGCATGCTCGATGTTCGCTTAGTTCTGAGAAGTACTGTAGAGTAAAATTTTATCCTTGCCACTGACAAATTTACAAACTGGATTTCTGTACAGATCTCATCAAGAGCATGAACGACTGGAGGGCCATGCAATTATAACTAAGGAGGAACAATCCATGTCAGTTTGTTTAATTGGTAGCATGACTGAAAAGAATTGCATCCCATTCTTATGTTATCTAAGAAAGTACTTATTCATCTTTCTCAATGAAAGTCCTCAATGTGTACAACTTGAAACTTAAGGCACTTTTACACGAGGGAAACTTTTTGATACAGAGATAACATAAATGGTACGCCTACCAAGGAAACAACAAATGTTGTATAAACAAGCTTTTCATCACCTATTCCAAGCCAGAATTTCACCCGAGCTCAGACCCAGAGAATACACTTACTGTGAGTAGTCTGAAGATAGATGAAATTTCACCTTGGCAAGGATGACAAAAAGTCATTTACACAACAAAATTTATCCATACCAAATCTTTTTCCTAAGTAGACATACCATTTATATCAGAAGAGTGCCAAAAATTTTCTGTTAATGGGCCTTGAACAATGATGACTCATTATTATCATTTACCATTAGCATTGTGATTATCATATCAACTTGACAGGTGTGTGAAGGAGGTCCATCTCAACTTCAACACAGATAAACGTTTGCTCACTGACAATGATTCATAAAATATACATCCAGAGACAATGACTGTACAGCAAATCTAACACTGCATTCGAACCGTGTTTGACCTTCATTTTCTCACAAGCAATGCCTTCTGTAGAGCTAAGATATCCTTCAGTTTAAAAGTCTGATTAACACCCAACAAGATTCAATTACGACCTTGAGTCATCTCCTTGGACTTGTGTAAAGCCACACCCTATTATACAGTTACCCTCTATTTAGGAGTTAGTTGTTAGTGTCTGGAAATTGCACCTCTTACATGTAATTGCTGTAAGCTTTACTTTTGATTAGCAGACAGGATCGCTTCCTAACTTCCAATTCATGTTCATTTAGAAGATACATAGATTATCTGATGCCCACAATATACATGTACAGCAAAATCCTCTTCTTCAGTGAACTATCTGTGAACCAGTTACCCCAGGAGTTTAGAGCATGGATCTCTATTAACCAGTCAGTCCAACATTAAGCAGTCACTTGTAAACAGACTGCCTAAGAGTAATTGATTAATATGTACAGGTATGACTGTGTTCCTGCTACTACCAGACAACAACATGAAGAATCCTTGTCAATGATGTACTGTACCCACACAAATCTACAGTTTAAGATGTACATGTGAAACAGCAAAAACTTTAACCCTTGGAACTGTTCAGTACTGATCACACTTACCATATGGTTTCGACACTGTCATAAATTTTGCATTTGTTTGCGCATCATGTTTGCTTCCCTCATAAAAATTCAGGACATCTAGAACAGCCTAGAAATCAAACAATGAAAAACACCATGTCTAAAGCCAACAACGCAACTTGTATGACCTACTCTAACGTACCCAGTTGTAAGCTCATCCGAAACAAGGTGCTGGCATGGTTACTTAATCGAATCACTTAGATATCCCTCATCACAAATAATTTCAATCAATTAAGACAAACCTGAGGGTTTTTCTTTTGCTCTGCTTGAGTGATGTTAGACGTGTGTAGCAGTCGAGCCCATGCTTCTGGCATTCCCTGATATGAGTAAAGTCAACCATTAGTCTTACGGTATCACAGACTTCTCTACCAGAAAAAAGAAGAAAATGGTCTGAAACTAAGAGAAAACTACTATAACGGTTTGGTTTATTTTGAATGTCTGTAGAGAGAGAGGAAGTTTTTAATCTACATCAAACTGATGCTCAATTCTGTCAGTGATGCTAATTAAGGACTTTAACTAACGATATACTCATTATATACCATACAAATTCCAAAAGTAACAACCTCCGAGAGTAGTGTCACCTCCTCCCCCAAAAAGTATGGTCAGAAAATTGTGGCCACTAATAAATTCCAAAAGTAGTGACCCCACAAAACTAGCGACGCTTGCCCCATCCACCCTGAAAATAGCGAGACCACGGTTCAATAATATATTTATAAATTTGTATCAGGAAAGTACTGAAAGGAATATTTTTTCAAATTAAAATTTCAAACTCAACCAGCCAACTCAAACATGGGATTCAGCAGACTAACGACTAACATATAGCAGTGCATCATGAAGTAAAAATGGTTTGCGGTGTCTGACCAGCTTTCCTGCCAGCCAATGACAACAAGGCATAGACGTGAAGAGCACACCCATTAAGCAGCAACATAAATTTAAGCTCGATGAAACATTTCATCTTCACAAATTTCTGTCTCTTATTTCATAAAAAGAGTTCAGTCACACCACCAACTTTATATAACAATCTTTGTACCCCAAAAGTAATGACCCCATGAAAGAAACAAACCCCACAGGCTGCTAATTCTGAAAATAACAAGGGTCATCACTTTAGGAATTTTAACCTGACTGCAGGAAATATCACTTAAAATATTCAGGGTTTTCACGGGACTGCAAGCAATAGGTTTTGTGTCACTGTTACCAGTTGAACGTGATGAGTAACACCACTGTCACACACACTTCGTGTGTGGCAGTCTGTTTATCTATATCCCTGGAGGAAAATTTTACAGATACGGACAAAAGTGGACATCTGCACAGAGGTTAACCAAGGTCTCCTAGGCCTTGCTTGAATGACAAAAAAGTGCATCCAGCCTCCCATCTGCTGACTCCAATGTACTGATTTTCTAATGAGACATGAAAGCTGACCATGTGCTGTATGTCTCTGTACAAATGAGATGACTGATGTTTACACCCTGAATTGAAGCTCAAATTCAAACACAACAACTGTATTCTTTGTCTCCACATACTGCTTAAGAAAAATTGCTGCTTGAGATACAAAATGGCAAGCAAAACTTTAATAAATCTCATCACACTTTGGAAAAACTCCTAGCTTTGATGAGCTATCTGTAAATTAAAACCACTGCTTCACTGGCCCTCTCTACAAGGAAATTACATTACATTTGGATTTTTAAATTTTTATATGCAAATTCCACTACGACTAGAGAATCGACATTGAGGTAAAAATCAGCAAATATAAAGCAATATATCAGAGTACATGTACAAGACATGGGTAATAATATTTATCATCTATCAGGAATATTTACCCTTTGTTACTTGCTGCTAAGGCAAAAGGTGACCGAGTGAGTTGCGCCATGAAAATATCAATCCGATGGTAGCTGTTGAATTCATTATTCTACAACTACCATGCCAAAAACAAATTATAATAACACTGATACTGACTCATTATTGTGTTATTGTTTAAAATGGTTAAATAATGAAAATAAATCGCCATGGTAAATAACAAGTTCACTTCATTTTATTGCAGAATTTATGGTTCAAGAATGAAAACTACCTTTGTTTACCAAACCAGAACATGTATAAAATAACAAATCTATGCCAACACATCTGTCAAATTGTTCTTTGCACAAATTGATGACAGATTCATCCTGCCAAATCACAAAAACCATGAAATTGGCCACATCAAAGCTTCCCCTTTCCTGACTTGTCAATTTTACAGAACAATTTGAAGACATTCTGTCCCAACTTATGACACTGCCACATTTACAATGACCAAAGGATTTTGCTTTGCATGCACTTTCAGTATTGAACCTGACAAAACTTGATTTACAATCTACTTTATTATGGACGAATGAAACAGTAATTTCTAACTTTTTTACGTAAGTGGCATTTTTTCACCTGCTTGAATAGAATAAATTCACGATCTGTATTGCAACCTTTTGAAACCAGAAAAACAATCATTCCAATTTCGTTAAGTCCTTGACAGGAATTGCAGCTCAATTTCAACAAACAATATTTAAGAGGTTGCAAATTGATGATCATATACAGAGATCTCTTATTTCAGACAGAAAAGTCTTTAGAATTCAGTAACTGCACCTGTTCCGATGACAACTTTGGAATTTTGCATGATAGCCGCATAAAGGCTTTTTTCCAACTTGATTGCAGCTAAGTAAAGCGAACCGGCGCACAATCGATGGGTTTCCTCTTACTCAATCACGACATGTACACATTTCAAGGCACGCCACTTCCAGCATCGACGATTTTGACTTTGTAAAAAATACAGCCGCAACGAAAGAACCTCTTGTATTATGCATTTCATTTTCACACCGTGTTTTGCCACTTTTTATCGATTTAATACTAGGCGAGTGTTGTTTGGAAAGTTTCAAGAGAGCGCAAACATCTGCTTTCATAAACTCCTCAACTGCTTGATCAATCCAAATACCTGAGGTTTTCAGCCTGATCAATATTCTACTCTAGGTTAACTACGGCCTCCTACCATGGCCTCAAACACCAACATAAAAGTCTTAGAAATTCAGACAATGAGCTCAGTACGACTACGGTAAATGGGCAACATAGAGAGCCAAAAACAATCCTAAATCCTTGCTCAATTTGTGTAAGGCCTGGCCTACAGCAAAACCAGGAAGAACTTCAAAGTGAGTTATATAACCCAAATAATAAAAGCCAGTCGCTACAAGCTATTCCCCAGTTCGAAGCTAGAAGCCATAAATTTGCTAACAACAGCAACGAAAACAGCTGTAATGGGCCAACCTCTCGATTCGAGACATGGTTCATGATGTCCGAAGCTACAGCAAGAGCGATACCTCTTCAAAAAATTCAACGCTTCGCCTAAGATGGAAAGACAGCTGAAGATCACCAGCGACTGATTTCGTGTTCAACGTAGGTCGAGGGCAAAATTAAGCATGGACAATTTAAGCTTACAACTTACCGTGAATTCGGAGGTAACTGGATCGAAACCCACATGAATCGTGTGCTCAAACTGAGTTGGAAGGGAGATTTCTGGCTTTTTCTTCGAATCTACAACATAGTTTACATGTTATCACATTAACGAAGCGACGACGCCATAACAAAAATGCTCTTTCCCATGTCAGGCCATATTTCCATTATAAAGCAAGTTACACAGCTTACATTTCTTCTCCTCGGTACCCTTGGTCTGGAAGAATCTCAAAGCTGCTGCTTTCTTCTTCTTCTCGTCAACAGGAGCGCTTGGCAAAGGCTTCGAAGCCGGAGACATCGAAGAATCTTTCGTGGAAGTGTGACGCATAGGAGGGGCGGGCGGCCTTTCTTCGTCCGACATATTGCTTTAAAAACGTATCTTGCCGCAAGAAAAGCCCTCCACTGGTTCAAACGTTCTTATTCTAGGGAATGCCAACAAAAATTCCGGCACTGAACACATGCGTAACTCAAAAGTTCATAGTTTCGCTGTTCAGTCGTAGGGATGTCGGGGTTGGTTTCTTGACATTTGCGAGGGCCGCGAGTATTCAATCCCCCTCCCACACATAACGCGGAAGGTACTGGGAACTGTCATCGCTTTTTTTCGGCCAATCAACCGAGAGCTCATTCGATGCCTTCCGGTAGAACCTTTCCGGTGACTTACAAGGAATCTACGCGGAAATTTTGAAAGTTTTTGTATTACTCATTAATTAAGCATTCTTTAACACAAAGGCTGGGCCCGCTAGGACAGCGATAAGCCCTTTTTGAAATTATTAGTTGTGAGGGACGAATAGCCTTTTCAAAGGTAATTTTCCTTTTTAGAGCTGTTTTTAGAAGTCTGACATCGCTTGTATTTCCCTACTACTGCTTCTTTCAACTTCTGGAGGAAGGTCAACCCTACATGCGAGGTGCAGTTTTATAAAATGAAACCGATTTGTATGGATCTAAACGGTGGCACGGTGGGGGAAATGTTGTTGTTGTTGGTTGGTTTCTTTCTGTTTGTTTTTTGTTTTTATTTGCCCGTGAAAAAAATATATACCAGGAACAGAATTTCTAAGACCGACACCAAAACTGATGTAAAGCTAATGAATCTGAGTTGCCTCGCTCTGGTCAGCTTTCTGAACTCGCGCGCTTTCGACTCTTTCGGTCAGCGGTGACCAAGGCCGACGACGGTTTTTTGTGTTTTTTTTGTGTTTTTTTTTTTTTNTGTGTGTGTGTTTTGTTTTGTTTTTTTTTTTGCTTGCTTTTTTTTGGAAAAAAAAAAGCGAAAAACTTTTTCCTCGAAACTGAAACGGAGAAAGTTAACAAAAAAACTTAAAATATAGTGAGGCTAGTCAAAATAAGTCCGTGTATGAATTAAAGAAGACTCCTCTCTTTACTGCAGATTTTCACAACAATAATAAGAAGATAAAAGAAATGATTTGATAAACTTCGGCTGAAACCAATTGTGTTCGGCGTTCTGCGGACGCATTGCTCTCTTATCAAGTAACACTTCCAACAAATAGAGTGGCTGGTGTGAAATAAACAGATTAAGTAATGATTCCACATTAAAATATGCTGTCACTACCTCGCAAACCCTGACTGACGATAACACAGCTGAAAGCGAAATTTGTTCAACGAATTGTCTTATTAGATCCTAATATGTCAGTCCTTTAAAAGCAGAGTCTAACATTAGAGCATTAGCCATCATTATACCATATTTGTCTGATGAATATTTTTATCTTATCTTGACATGATCAGTATTCTAAATAATATTATCCATTATCAAGCAGCTGCATGAAATAAGCTTGGCCTATTACATGGGAAATTGAGCCTGGAAATGTTGTCCTTTACTTTCTCAGGGTGAAAACAGGTATATTTCTTGCCCGGTGGTGTAACACAGTTCTTAAAACTGTACCTCAGAAATTTACAACATTTAAACAAGGGTCGGTTATTCATAACGTCGCTTCAGTTTGTCTTTTGGCCTTCAATAACATCATTGGTCACCGAGCACGAAAACTGGCGATCTTTTAACATCGACAAAAAATCGCAGTTGTTATAACTAAATTTATAGCTGAGCAGGTGGTATTCAACGCTCATATAGTTTATAAAAGAGGAGGTTTTGAGTCAAAAATTATCGAAATGAGACTACGTGTCTCAATAATTCGTTTTCGTCAACCCAATGAGCTTTTAGGGTGTTGCAAGTCAACCAAACGGTGTATTTTTAAACGTCACTCGACATTCCCTGCGGTGCAGTGAAGATCGATCAGATGTTGTTCCACGTACAATTTTAAATGTAGCTACAGAGCAGCCTGAAACATGCCCAAATCGCTAGTAAATGTGTAAGACATCAAAGGGTATGTAGCTACAGAGCAGCCTGAAACATGCCCAAATCGCTAGTAAATGTGTAAGACATCAAAGGGTATGTAGCTACAGAGCAGCCTGAAACATGCCCAAATCCCTAGTAAATGTTTAAGAGATCAAAGGGTATGTAGACATGGCGTTCACGACGCATATACAAATTTATTAAAACAATCAGATCCCAAACTTGTAAACAAGTCCCGAAACTATCTTTCAAAAAAACCTCCAGTTCCCTATTTGCACTTCTAGACAAAACAAACCCATTTTAATATTTTCCAATTATAAAATGTATAATGACTTCCCTGAGTATTCTTTTTATTTCCATTGATTGGACTCAGTGTTATTATGACCAAAGGTGATCGGGTTTCACACGCAATGTTCTGTTAAAACCATTAAATCTTTTCTATCCCCGTTTATTAAAAAAGACAATTGAAACACAACGAGCCATCATAGCGAAAAAAAAGCGAGTCGTGAATTATTAAAGAACATTCTTCTCTGTTAAATCTGCTTATGGTACTGATTATATGTGGTTACTGTCTATCTCGTAGATAACTTTGTTTACATATGTTCATGAAAAACGTTGACAAGACATATAAACCTCTGATGTTTGCGGTTATTCTCCAGACTAAAGTTGATCCCGTGCTTTTTTCAACCATGCATGGTAACTTATTGTGCTTTTGATAATAGAGAAACCTGTTTTCTGATCCACCCGGAGGGATTGCTGCTCATCATCAACTATTACAAGAGAGAATGAAGGGTATACGCATCATTACCAACGTAATCTCTCTCAAGTTATTTTCAGAGCACTTCTGGTTTTGGCTTTCGCCAAAAAGACGGCAATTGAACGCCGCACATTTCTATATGTGGCCTTTTTCCTAAAGTACGCAATTTTAGGCAAACTGTCCGATAAAACGTCATTTGAAGATAGAAAGAAATATTCTTGTCTAGATGTCAACATTTTTGCCTTTTGAGGCATCCTCACAAAGCCTTTCTTTGTGAAAAGTGAACTGATCAACATGACACGAGCGTGGGACAAAGAAAAAATCTAAGTCCCGGACAGGAATCAAACCTATGACCTCCCGAACACCGGGCTGGCGCTCTATCCACCGAGCTACAAGAACTCATGGAAAGCAAGGTCATTTAACTGAGTTCCAATATGTGACAGGCGTCCTGCATACTGCATACTGCCTTCTTTATTCACTCATCACACTTACGATGACTTTGACATTGCTGATCCTAGCAATATGCAGGACGCCTGTCACATATGAACTCAGTTAAATGACCATGCTCTCCATGAGTTCTCGTAGCTCAATAGATGGAGCACCCGCCCTGTGTTCGGGGGTCATGAGTTCGATTCCTGTCGGAGATTGAGATTGTTTTTCTTTGTACCACGTTCATGTTAATCAGTTCACTTTTCACATGTTATTACCGAGCTTAAAATTCACCCTTTTTATTCGCTTATCAAGCTTTTCTTTCTTTGTCTCTCTTTAATTTTGGAAAAGAGAAGTTGGAAATGTTTCACTGAACGTCAAGGAACGTGGACATCTTTAAAAGGTAAAGTGTCCAGGATATGTAGCGTGAAGTTTTTCCTTGATTTTCAGAGGACGCATTGATAGCTTGATTGCTATTTTGTAAATATGTGGCCAACTAGAAAACCGGATGGTTTACTTGAACCCCATACTCTAACTTTAATATTTATCAACCAAAAAGGTAAACTGTAAAAAAAATTCAGTACATTTAGCGTTTCAAAACAACCGCCATTATCGATGCGAAGCGGTAGAAGCTTTATGCTTCGTTCTTCCTCTCTTATATCACTTGATGAAACAACTTGGCAGCTGTAAAAATCAATGGAGCTGTTGGAAAAAGAATTTGAAAGGCCTCAAAGATAAGGTGTGTGGTTCGTTACGATTCGCATTCCATCGAGTGAGCCGTTGTAATGCTTATAAACATTAGGGTGCTGAGACTGCGCAGTACGGACTGGAAATCATCTTTAACTGTATGATGCAAACAATCTTTGTTTGATCCTACCCACAGTTTCTTCATCAGTCATTGCAGGTGTTCGTTCATTCTTGGCACTTTCCTTGAGCTTATTTGATCCCATTGACCGGGAAAATGACTTTTGTCACTCTATCATTTGCTTAACTTGTTTACAATTAGCTCGACAAGTGGTTAATTTCCCGTATGCCTACCGCAAAAAGGTCTATTAAATTACACTTTTCAATGCCATTTGTAAACTTTAATTAATAACTTTCAAAAGCCGAACTAAAAGAACAATGAAATGTCCTAGCTTTGGATTGTTAGGCCGTTTATGCTAGTCTTCTGACATCAAAAGACGAAATACAATTAACAATAACCTAATTAATGCCTAAAAAACAATTATTTTTATTTTATTTTTAATTTAATAATAACGCAATGCATGGCATGAAATCGACTCGCTGACCAACTTTTCACTCTAGAGTTGAAAATGATGCAATTAAATTTGACACGACTTGTCATTTCATTAATTCAGTTCAATTTTTGTATAGAACGAGCCATGAACTTTCGGATTATACTGAGTCAGCGTCAAACACAGTTTTAATTTTCTTTTGATAAATTCGCCACCAGTCAAGGTAGTAATTAGCTTGTCCATCACACTGCACAAACTCAACCATTATCTTTTGTTTTCTTTCCGACTATAAACAATATGAGGGGTCCGATTCCTTTCATTTCTATCATCTCTCATGCAGACTGTGCCAGTTTACACGTGAAAAATGTAAATTAAAAAAAAAGGTTTAGCGAGAAAAGAAGTCACGAAGTTTCCTGTTTTATCATCTTAGTTTTTCATGACCTATAATAGTTCTTTGCCGCTTTCGCTTTCCTATTGTCTACCAAAACGTTTAAACAAACAGAATGACCTCATTCAACTTTTAATAAAAATATTTATCGGATTTTCACGAGATGCAAAACATGTACAAAGCATAAAATCAATCACACGCACAGATTGAATCGGGTTTGTTGTCAGTTCAGGCACTGAAGCAGGTTTAAGAAAGATTGATGTGACGACGGAAAAAAACAAACTATATCTATTAATAAACAACACATCCAATAAGTGAAAGACTGAAGTTAACTTCAAGAAGAACGTCACTGGAGTAAATTTACACTTGAAAACGCGTCTCGCTATTCTTGGAGTCAGGGAGTTTAAAAGAGGAATGTTTGGTCACTGCAGAATTTGTT